CCCCAAAACCCCAAAACCCCAAAACCCCTGTATTATACTAAGAGAAAAGTAAGTTAGGACTGGGAATATTAAAATACAATTAATTCATATATTTGGATAGGGGCAATTTGAGTGATTATTCTCTCCTGTTATAATATAATTTGCAGCTCTTCTCAGTTTTCAGGATCTTCTGGGTAAACAATTTAAACGTCAGGGTAAATAAAAGGATAAAAGGCATTGAAGAAAATTTTACCCATTTAATTTCCTAGGTAAACAAATTGAAAGGCTTGAGGCTCGTAGTCGTCATTGAAAATAGTGTATATCTCAAAATATCTATCATAAATAAGACCTAAATGATAGCCAATATTTTCAAGTACTCTGATTGGATTTAGAAATGTAAGAGCATAGTCTTCAAACGAGTCAATCATGATATCTGTTGTCCAAAGGCATGATTCAACAGTTGGATTGACGCTTCTAAAGAATCCAGTTGAATCTTGTACGTATAAAGCATACTTCCCCCCAAACAGCTCCCTAATGAAAGTTTAAGTCATATTTGTGTAGTAAATGCCTAATTAATCCATGCATTTAGTTGAATTAAGGTCATTAAATCCTATGGTTGAATTTATAAACCCATATATTGAGTAGTAGATCATTTCAAAACTATTTAATGCCTAAACCATTGGAATTTTGAGTTTTTTAAAGTCTTCTCTTTTATAGTCAGTCACATCCTCATCAAAATTCCAATCTTGACTAGTTTAACTCTTAAAAATTTTGCTAAGTTGATCTTGCATAAAATTATTCTTGTCATCATTTTAATTAAATGATGCATCTGGAATAGGATGAAAATCTAATAACAGATTCATGATTCTTCCGAATTGGTAATAAACCTCTCTATTATTATTATCTTTGATTGCTAAGTTTATTTTATCATAGATTTTTTGGAACCCAATCACATTACCAAGCATATTTTATATGAATGCAGTCGTCCAATCTGTGGCGCTTCCAAACTCCTTAATTCTAGCATTTGAAGTTTCACCAGCTTAGACTAAACTTATAGCGCATAAATAGTAAGTATCAGCAAGTGAACCACTAATATATCTAGTTATGTTTAAGGTGTAGTCAAACCATAAGTAATTTGGGTCGCCAATAAAGTTCATCGAAGTGTTAAAGTTATATAGAGTTTGCTCCAAGTAGTTTGAGCAGTCCTAGATATTTGGGACAAATTAAGTACCCCTAAAACCAAGCAAAAACTGATTAAAGTAGTCAAAGCCTTTTGCAACCTCCTCTTTAGTTGCCTGAACTTAACTAATTCTACAAATTAGTATGATGAAAGGAAGTAAAAATATTCTTTAGTATTTCATTTTTAAGTAAATTATTATTCTCACTATCATAATTATTTTTTCAAAAGGGGTTTTGGGGTTTTGGGGTTTTGGGGAGATCGGAAGAGCACACGTCTGAA